CTGAGTTTGATTTTAATTTTGCAGGAGTAGTAGTAGGTTTAGGGTTTTGAATTTGAAAAGGAAATGAAAAGAAACGAAGATAATTGAACTGTGATGGTTGGGGAACTTGATTGAAACTGGAAAAAGAGAAAACAAAATTTTTATGTGGGCCCCACTAAAAAGAAAAAGTGAGAAGATGACAATTTGACGTGTAAAAAATGACACGGTGTCAAAAATGTCTTTTGCTGGATTTACACATCATTAAAATAAAAAAAAAACGGTGATTTTGTGGCATCTTAACGAGCCACTTGGCATTTAACTGACGGAAGGACCATTTTAGTACCAAAAATGAAAGTTTAAGGATAATTTTGGTACTTTTTAAAGGTGAGGGACAATTTTGGTGCCAAAGTGAAAAGTTGAGGGACTAAAATGGTACTTAAACCTTTTTCTTTTCCATGTCATTAGTTAAGCAAAAAGTCAAATGATTTGCTGGCAAGTTAACGTGACACCTGTCATTTAACTGACGGAAGGACCATTTTGGTACCGAAAATGAAAGTTTGAGAATAATTTTGGTACTTTTTAAAGATGAAGGACAATTTTGGTACCAAAGTGTAAAGTTGAGGGACCAAAATGGTACTTAAACCAAAGATTTGGGTATGCTCTAGCTACTCAACTTTGGAGCCATGAGATGGAGGTTGAAGTCCCTTTTCGTACGTCGAGCATTCCGGATCTAACAAATCATGGCGTCGATCTTCATCATCTTCTTTCCTTCATTGCTGCCGAACCCCTCTCATGGCCATCGGACCACTTGCAGGCCAGATCTAACAAACCACCGCAGCCCTCTTTTTTTTTTTTCCCTTGATCATTGCTTTGCTATTTTTCCCTTTTTCTGTTCTTTCTTTGTGTTGATGGTGATTTCTGGTTGCAGGCATTGATCGAAAAGACCAATCTTAACCCAAGAAAGATTTGGGTATGCTCCAGCTACTCAACTTTGGAGCCATGAGATGGAGGTTGAAGTCCCTTTTCGTACACTTTTGATTATGGTTAGGCTTTTTTACTTTAGAGTATCATTCTAGGCAATGTGGAAATTGTTTCAAATGTTCTAACTAAATGTTTTGCTTGATAAGCAAAGCTTAGAGTTTGTTTGAAAATGATGAACAGTTCAAAGCTGTTGAATGACCCAGAGACCGAGAGGATCTTTATGGGAGCTACATTGTGGAACTTGAGAGGAAGGTAACTATTAGTAACTTCTGCTTAGTTGTGCATCTGTGTATATATATGTTGGTTGCAAAATATGGATACGGTACATATTAATTATCGCATTTTTTATGCTTCAAAATTATATACCTCAATGAGAAAAATGGGAAAGAATACCTCTATGTTGTTTGTATGAATTAGGCTCATGTTCTCTAATTCAGAAGGAGATATAAGTGAGAAACTCTCTTAAATCTTCTTTTTGTATATTGTTTCTGGTTTGACAATATTATTATGTGGTTTTGTATTATTTTCTGGTTCATTTATAATTAGGACAATAAATTGTGGGACATTATATTAGCATTTTATATATGCCTATTTAGATGTAAAGTCTTGTACCCTAGCTAGCCTCATTGTATTTTCATCGTTTTATTTATGTCCTCAATCAATACTATGATCTTGGGGTTTTTGGACAATATATCAAGATTTTAGCGTAAAAAATATATTAAAAAAACTTGGGCATGTCTGTCTCTATCAACTACAAATTCACTATGACTAACTTCAATTTTTTGTGGGTGCTTTAGCAGAATGGTCAAATACATAATGTATTTGACCATTTGCATTCTGTCTCGACTTGTGTCATATCTATTGGTAGTTAGGCATTCTTGTGTATATTGGGACACTAGAAGAACTAATCTAAATTCTACTTGGTGGTGCTATTCTTACTGTTTATTTCTATATTAATGCAGGAAAAGGAAAAGGCTGCTGAGGAGCGTAGGCAGTTTGTGGCAGAATACAGGAAATTTTTGGAATCCTATGATTTTATTAAGGTATAAGAGTGAGTAATGGGGGGTATAAATATTTCCATTTATAAGATGTTCTGATTTTTCTCACTTACATGATTTGTCATACAATTTGAAGGTGAACAGCCAATGGTGAAAGGTTCAAGATCGATTAGAGGATGATGAAAGATGCTCACGTCTTGAAAAGATTGATCGCTTGCTTTTCTTCTAAGATTACATTGATGACTTGGAGAAGGAAGAAGAGGAAAAGAAGAAGATACAGAAGGTAGAATACATTTTTATGATAATAAATTTGCTTCCAATATCTGCTCTTTACCTTTTTCTTTTTTTTTTTTGGTTGAATCTAAGGAACAATTGAGACATGCTGAGCATAAAAACCGTGATGCATTTTGCCAGCTAATGGAAGAACATGTTGCTGATGGCACTCTAACTGCTAAAACTTAATGGCTTGATTATTGTTTGAAGGTATATCCCCTATTTAATTTTCTTCCCTTAAATATTTGAAGGAGAGCGGTTGAGATCCAGCATTGCAAGGTATTGCATTTTTGCATCAGAAATAGATCCTAGCACGAATTGCTTTTCTTGCTTCATTTTATTATGTTTGATCAAATGAAA